CACAAGCAGTGGAGAAATGTCTTGTAATCAGCACTAAAATTGTTTATGATGAAAACCTGAAAGAGTACATGGTATCAGTATTTTGTTTCATTTTTTAAAATTTATGTTGGTTTTATGTTTTGTGTCAGAGAATGCAAGGGGGTATTTTCATTGGCATTTATCTTAAGTAATAATTGGGGCCAATTTCTAATCAGGGATAAATTTGCTGTGCATTGTTTTTCCCTTTGAAATGCAGTATTTTGAAAACATTCTTTTTTGTCTATTGTTTCCTTTATCATTTTTGATGATTTAAATATGACTGTTTAGAAAGATTATTGAATATGTTTGCCTTAATGTGCAGAGAATTTTTAATGCCATTTTATTTACAAAGATTTTTTTTCTTCTTCTTCTTCTTTTTCTTTATCTTTTTCTTTTTCATATTGTGTATTTTACCTTTTCAGTCATTTTCCCTTATAAGCATAAAATATTTTGCGTGTATATATAGTCTATAGATATTAGATTTTACTTCCCAGCAATAATCTGTTTTCGTTTTTACGGGTGATGTTGAGAAAGCTGTAATTTTTGCTTTCGCATGCAGCAACGTCTCTCAAAAGTAGTCAGCTTCTTCCTCTTTTTTTTCTTTCTTTCTTTCCTTTTTTTCTCTATTAATTATCAATATCCATATCAGCATCACACAGACCAATGTTCATGGTAATTCCTATCTCTAGATTTCACAATAAACCAGAGAGAATTTGTATTGAAAATATTATGATCACTCTGGGAAGATTTCCAGGATGTGGAAATTTGCAAGATTATTTTGTTAAACTGGTAATGACAGAGTGTCCATGGTCAGTATGTAAGTACATGCTTATTACACCATTTAGATATGCAAAATACAGGTGATTCATATATTCTCTCTCTCTCTCTCTCTCTCTCTCTCTCTCTCTCTCTCTCTCTCTCTCTCTCTCTCTCTCTCTCTCTCTCTCTCTCTCTCTCTCTCTCTCTCTCTCTCTCTCTCTCTCTCTCTCTCTCTCTCTCTCTCTCTCTCTCTCTCTCTCTCTCTCTCTCTCTCTCTCTCTCTCTCTCTCTCTCTCTCTCTCTCTCTCTCTCTCTCTCTCTCTCTCTCTCTCTCTCTCTCTCTCTCTCTCTCTCTCTCTCTCTCTCTCTCTCTCTCTCTCTCTCTCATTACCATTTCCTCCAGTACTTCTAATAATTTTCCTCTCATAATACTTGGTAATGTATAGTAGTGAATCATGGATATAAAGTATTGTTTAAAGGCATGGGGGCCTCTTAGATCATGTGTTTAAACATGAATTAAAATGTACTGTAATATTGAAACCTTAAAAGTTCAACTAAAAGTTCAACACATTTCTTGAAATTGGTGTGTTATATTGATGGCTTCATGCATTGCTATGAAAGATCTGGTAGTTCATAGGTTATTGCTACAGTGAATTTATGCATTTGTTGAAAAATAAGTTGTTCTTGTACACTTGTATGTCACATTATAATGGGATTTTGATAATGCATAGCAATCTATAAATGGAGGCCTATCCATCACACTAGCTTGTGTTTCATATTGTGTTGCAGTGACATATATGCAAGGTATATGTGTGGCCACTTTATCATAAATAATGCTCTCTCCTTATTTTGTTATACTTTGGGTTGATGGTTGTGAATGTCTCAAATTATTTATATATGTGATTATGCTTTTGATTTGTTGTCTCAAGACTGTGTTTCTTCTTGATCTATATCTTTCTTTGAAAGAAACCGCAAAAGAATAAATGACACCATCGACAAGCATGTTTTGTTGCATACTGTGTAATAGATATAATAGGTAAAGTGTGTAATGTTTGAGTATATCCATATTTATGCAAATATAGAAAGATTCTTTTATTTTATTTATATGGTTCAGAACAGATATGAGGTAGATTTAAGTTATTATAATGACTCCAGAAAAAACACAGATGTGGGTTATGTGAGGGATGCCCAGGTAATGACTTTAGCAAATTCAAGAATTTATAATAAACCAGATGAACAATGTAATCTTAAGTTTTGCACTAGGATTTGAACTGCTGTGATATGATTTGTGAGTTTTTTAATAGAGAAGGCTATGTTATGCATGAATTAGAAAGTGAAAAGAAATGGAAATGACTTGATTAGTGTCTCATTTAACAGGCAATGGAATTTTATATAATTATGCTTGAAATGTACATTGCCAGAGAAGGCCCCTGAATGATTTTTCAGCTATTAATCAGCTCATGTGAAAGTGGCTTTTGCTAGTGTTAGACATATTGTTCAACAATGTTTTTGCACAGAATGAAATAAGGATTCATATTCATATGTTCAGTTCCAAATATACGATGGCCAGTCAGATATTGATTTGCTCGTAAGTGCTGAAGTAATTTAGTTCAGTTATATATTCACAGTTTGAATAATTATGAGGAAAAATCCTTGAAGTTGATACATTACTAGCTTTCAGTGTATAGTGCTATCTAAATATTTAAATGATTTTTGGATGTAGTTACTTTATGTCATCATATCTTTATGTTATATATAATGAATTGTAGGTAGGTATTGAAGTCACTGAGAAGTTATACTGCAGTCCCTTCAGATTATGTATTTTGAAAATGCTTTCATGGAGCATTATACTAGGGAATCTTCTTTCGTAGGTCACAGTCATACAATTATAAAAAATAAAAAAAAACATAAATGAAAAATGAATATGCGAAGGGATAAAGCATCATTTGTATTTGTGTTTATTGTGCATGAGCTGGACACCATTTCTATGTTTCTGATATGGTGCTTTCTCTCCAGTGATATCAGTCTGATCATAGTGGTGTTTTGGAGAATTTAATTACTGTCCTACGTGTAGTGAGCTCTATGGAAGTGCTGATGTTCATATTTCATTCAGTTTGCATTATGATTTTCCTGTGGTTAACGTGAAATATTTAGCTTTTACTCAGTATCATAGAATGTATTGATATCATTGAGGTTGGAATGTCCTGTGCTCAGAAGTTTGCTTCTGGAATTATGAACATATTTCCAAAGAAATATGTGTCAGTAGCTTTAAACTGTTTTGATATGTAATCACTCTTTTGATATTCTTTATTTCTGTTTGGATGACACTACAATCATAAGAAGTATGAGATGTTATCCAAGTTTTATATTAGCACTAAAAGTAATGCTTAGGAAATTCTATTGAGGCTAGGATCCTGATCTTCTTCCATATAATCTAATAAGAACACGTAGTAGTTTTTATGTAGCAATTGTATTAGCAGGCATTAAACCATTTCCATAAGTGATTACTTAAAAAAGAAGAGAAAAGGGAGAAAAAAAAAAAACAGAAAAAATATTGTGGGCAAACTTTATAAGCGTACATTATTGTTTTTAATATTATTATTATCATTATTATGCTAAGTTGAGAAAATGGCAAAAAATCAAGAATTGTAAGAAGTTAGAATAGGTTAAAGGAAAAACATTCACAGAACTGAAATGGAACAGACAGATACCTCTAGTGTCAGGAATCCTAGATAAACTTTTTAAAGTCTCAACGATACAAATAATACAAGTAAAAAAGGTACACTGAAACAATCTAATGCGTTCACCCGTTCTTATGTTTGTTATTCTGTTATGTAATTTGATGTGCTATATTATTTTAAAGACGTATGTGCTAACAATGACGAATCTGTAGATTCTTTTATCTTCTCTACTTACAAGTGTTTTTAAATTGGATATGGGCACATGTATGTCAGTTTGTCTGTCTGTCTGTCTGTCTGTATGAGTGTTTGATGTACAAATGAATATTTTGTATCCTCTCATTTTCAGGTTATATTTTATAGTATTTACATTGGCGTAAATAATTTTTCTTTGAATTGTTGGGAGTTAAATACATCTTTCTTTTTGAATATGAAAATATAAGTAAATATTTGAAATACATACTTAAAATGGGGTTTAAGTTGTTGCTCTGAGGGTACGTAAATGCATGCCCAGTCCACTGTGATTTTAGTTTATTAATTTTGTTTATGTATAGATGGCTCCAGGACTGCTCAGCCATGAAGGAGGCATTTATTTGGACTACCTAATCTTGCCGGGCTACCTTGATTTTTGGAAAATATGTCTGTTTATTTTTTATTGCTATTACTAATGTTAATAACATTATTAGAATCAGAATGTAAAATTGATTATTATTATTTATTATTATTATTTTTTTACAATATTAAGGATGAGGATGATAATAATGATCATAAGAATAACATAACAGTAAAGATGAAAATGTTATTTGGAAATAAATTTCAGGAAATTCAAGGAACAGAGGACTCAGATGAGGTCAGGTAAGCCTGCTGATTGATTCCTTGGTGACTAAACCCTGGTGGAGCTATCTATGCGTAAGCAGAATTGACAGAATAAAACAACGGTGAGCATTGCATGTTTCCTGCGCCGATGGTTTATACATCGATAAGTTCATGATTGTGGCTCATACTAAGGTTAGGCTTCAGAAAGTGTATATTGTGTCATTTTGTGCCAGATCTTCAAAATAGGAATTCAGTAAGGAATTTGCCCTGTCTAGGTAGGTTATTCTTACTAATTTCAGGTATTGGGTAATAAGCTTTTTTTTTTTTTATCTGTTGCAGTATTATGTTGAACAAAAAGAAATTCTCATTGTTTTACTTTTAATGGTGTTTATTTATATATTTCACTAATTTATTTAACTTGAGTGTTTCATTTCATCTTTTGCATTTATTAAATGTTTAGGCAATGATCAGATTATAGAATTAATTATATAATCATAAAGAAAATTTTCCGCTGTAGATTTTAAAGACCATTTTGCTCTATTGTTAAAGAAATGACGAAAACCTTATCTCATTATCTATTAACTGATTAATTATCTAAGAAAATGCTGGTTATGTAGGTTTTATATCAGATTTATTGCCATTATTTTTTGTTGTGCATTTGATATATAATGTACACAATTTCTTTATTTTCATTTGATATTCGTTTTAGCATTAAATCTCAATTATTTAGCAATACTTTCAAAAGTTGTTGTTAAATTACTCACTCACATCAATTAAAAGCAATCATTACAATACATGACATTTTATGTAACCAGTTGAATCCTTTGTATTGTTATAGTACATAGTAAGGCTTGATTTTGAGAGAGAATTTATTTATTATTTTTTTTTCTTTGGAGAATTATGAGATGTTGAGTGTGAATGAGCAAATGTGTGAGTAAGTCTGTATATGGTGTGGGTAATGAGAGCATGAATAGCAGAAGGATCAAGTAACCCATAAAAGTTCTGAAAGTTTTATTTGAGAACATTCCCCCAGATATGTCAGAAATTGTTGTTACATGAAGGGCCATGGGTATGTGAACCCCATTCTTTACCTGTTTTAACAAAAGGCATGCCATTTATGTTACAAATAAAATGAGTAGAATTAGGATATCTGGAAAGCATGCTGCTTTCTTATTTGCGTATTCTCAGAAGGCAGTAGATGCAGTTATGTTTTAACTTGGCATTTATTTGCTTTGTGATATCAACAGGATAAAAGTCTTTATTTCTGTAATAAGATCAGTTACATGTTATAATTATTATTGTCATCATTATTATTTGTGTACTTTATTTTTGGTAGGATACTAATAGTTGCTAATATATTATACATTTAGACGTGTTGTTTTGTTTCCAACCTCCTAAGGAAGAAGCTTACCTTCAGCTAAGAATGAAGTTTTATGTAAATTTTGATGTTAAGATCTGAAAATGGAAACAAATGGTGGTTATTGGTGTTTATTTTTGAACATGCAAATGGCAATATTTACATTGGAAATACTGAAAAGGTGTTGCTTATTATGATTTTGTTATATTAACAAAGGCATCAAATTATAGATGGTTTATGAATGAATGTTTGCAAAAATATTATGAACTGATGTGCCATTGTAATTTATACACAGGTTCTGATT